CAGAAGCAACGGGCTCTGTGTAACCGCCTGCCTATTATACAAATGACTGTTGCACAAAATGAGTGTCCATTATGCTGGTTTTTTTAATGTTTTTGATAGTCCAAAGTCAATCATATTTATACATTCAAACTTTTTTGATAAAAAATAAATTTAAACTTTATTAACAAAAAAAAAAGGTCAACTTATAGCCTAAGCCTTATGTATTTTTACAAATACTTTTAAAAATAAAGAAAATTCAATTATTTGAAGAAAAAATTTTCAATAATGAAGTTGAAATTTGCATGCATATGAACACTAACTTTAAAATAAAAAAAATCTGTTTTACTGTTTTTTAGTATATAATTAACACAAAATAACAATTTCTTCAATTTATTTATTAAGATAATAGTTTCCATGATTTTATCTTATCCATTTTAGTCATGGAACCAGTTGAGGATTTTTATTTTCTCTTTATATCAATTTCTGCTTTTCTGTCCACTTTGCTTGTCACAGGACCAATTTTGGAATCTCTTCAATTTTAAAATAAATGAAAACCTACAAAGCGAACATAAAATAATACATATAGGGTTATAGATATATGAAAATTAATAATGGTTCTAATGAATATCAAAAGGCAATTGATTTTTTAGAAAAAGGTTGCAATTGTGGTTGCTCTTCAGGAATTCCCAAGGAACAATTTGCAGAATTAAGGGAATCATTTCAAGCTCTTTCCAAGTCTGAACAAGACATATTTTTAATGGCTCAACTTAAAGCAATGGATGGTGGATTAATAAGCACTAGTAAGCACCTTAAAAAGAAAACCAGATCTAATAAAAGAACTTTCTATCACTGAGATCACAATACACTTCTTTGTCAAGAAACTTATCTCAATATGCTAGGGATTGGTAGAACTTACTTTGAAAATATTAGAAATCATCTAATAAACAATGGTCTTTTACCAAGAATTCATGGTAACATAAAAAGAATGCCTCAATGGAAAGCTAAAATGGTGATTGACAAAAGTGTTGCTGAAGTAGTAAAGAATTTTCTAGAAAATTATGCAGAAGTCCATGGATTACCAAGTCCAGGAAGAAGTATCAATAGAAT